CTGAATTACGTGCTCTCAGTTTTCCTATCACTTTTTTTCCCTCTCGGATCTAAATCCAGACTGTGAGTTTCTGTCTGTAGAGTGACAATACATAAGATAACTTGAAATGAAGCCCTTTAAGTCTCCCGTTCCTGCAAACCTGAGGAAACCAGAAATGTTTTTCAGAGACACGTTAGCTTTAATACCTTATTCCAAACTCCGAGTGCTCTCTCTCTCCACACCCCTGCCCCTTCTTTCTCTTGTAGTCTCTGGGATTGCAGTATGATTTTTCCAAGTTCATACAGTCCCTTCTGGGCTGTGAACAAAAGCTAGGGGGCTGTGAGGGAGACCAGTGCCCTCTGCCTATCGCTCCTTAAGTTCCCCAGGCCCTTACCATGTTCTCGTTTAAACTCAAGAGCTGTTAAGAACTTCCTAAAGCTAGAGGTTTAGAGAAGAAGGAAAAGCTGTAGGAACTAAACCAGCTGCCAGTCCCGTAATCATAGTACAGAACCAATATAGGGTCAGGCATGGGAGTGGGGAAAGGCAGAGGTGAAATGGTAAATAAAAGAGCTCCCTTCCCCCCTGGGCTGTGGGAGCCATGCCCGTCTTGGCCATCCTCCAGCCCCATGTGACCTTGGAGCTGTACCTGTGGGACAAGGGAGCAGCCATGTGTTTCCCTAAGCAGTGCCTGGTCCCCGGCCAGGAGGCCCAGCGCCCCACCAGCATCACAGGTGGCTCTGATGGGCTCCTTGCACAAGTGATTCCTGGTCCAGACTGGCCTGGCCCCAGGAGGAGGCTCTGGGAGCAGTTCCTTAGAGGGAACCTTTTGGGGGGATACAGGGGTGGGGAGGCCTTTGCTCCTTGCCCAGGATGGCTCTCAGGAGAGGTGTACTTGCGCCACACCCTACCACCTAATTACAGTGCTCAAATCCTGGGCCGGCTCCCACTCTTAAGGACAGCACACCCCCAAGGCTGGCACGGGAAGTTCACCTGTACCAAAGTCTCTGTCCGCCTGTGCCGCTACCTGGTGTAGAATGCATACCCCCATACTCTTTCCAGTCCAGGAAACCCCTGTGAGGTGGAACAGCTATGCCTTGAGAGGGTGAGTCCCTTAGAAGACAGCAGGACTCAGCAAGGGTACGACTGATTGCATAGGTGGGTTAGCAGAGCCTGCAGCCCCGGGTGCTCCCTAGACACTGAGGCAGGTAAGAGTAGGGGAGGAAAATTTGTGCGGCAGGAACAGGCAAAGAGCGCGCAGCCTCGGGCAGCAGGGCTTGTGGGATCCGGCTGACTGAGGGCTTGTGTCCCATGTAGAGAGGCAGTCTCTGCCCCCTCCCAGCTGCTTGCTGAAGCATGGAAATGTGGGCCCCACCTGCCAGCTTTTTGTTGTCTTTTTTTGAATTTTTTTTTTTTAGGAGAAGGAAGAAACCAATCATCTTTTTATATGTTGGCAACTAATTTAAGTAAACACTGCGTGGCCCTGCAGAGCACAAGCTAAGTGAAATATCTGTGGACCCCATTTGATTACTAGGGAACAGTGAAGAAAGTGCCTACCCAAGGGTATAGTTGCTTCCCAGAGCAGCTAAAACACCACCTTCCCAGCTCTAACACAGAACGTGAAATTATTTAAACAGCGGGAGGCCCTTCTTAACAAGCAATCAAGCCAAGAGCCAAGTGCGGTATTGTCAGCCTCTTTATACCTAAGATCATATCTTGACCCCCAACACAGTTCTATCCATTCTTTCCTCTTTTCCTCTTTTTCTAGTTCAAAAAGACAAAAACTGCAAAGCTTTCCCAGGAAAATTTTTCTGGACAGGCAGCTCCTAATTGTAGAGGAGACTTTCTCTTCTAGGTCATTAGTCAGGAATGTTCCAGGTGGATCCCCAAGCCAACTATGTTGTGAACTTGGACAAAAGCCCTGAATGACCTTGGGCAACTTACCTTACCTGACTTCCTTCTTTCTCTCACTAAGAGAACCTATTGTAGTGGGGGGAGAGCACAAAACCAAGAGTGTCTGATTGTTCATCATTTAGACCCCTTGTTCCTTAGTTTCCTCCTACCAAAAAAAAAAAAAAAAAAAAAATTAGTGGAACAGGTCTAAGGCCCTTGAGGGCCAAAGGTCTCTTAACAGCCTTCTATTCAGAGCACTCCCCTCAGGGAAGCTCAGGAACACCCACTGGCAAAAGTGTGAAGTGGGTGATGTTTGAATTCTTTGAGCTTTATCCCACCTCCTATTACCTGGTGCCCTAGATGAACCCTCGATGCCCCAGCGACGCTGACTTAAATAAAAAGCCTAGTTATTGTACTAACTGATAAGGCACAGTATATGCACAGATACATATAAAGAGAATATTATTTACATATGAAAATCACTTGTACCAAAAACTAAGTAATGACTTTGTCCTCTTTTTTTTTTTTTTTTTAAAGTTTCAGAATGTACTAACGACTGATGTTAGAGATCACATCCAGCACTTGCCTGCTGAATGCCATTTAGTGTTTAGTGTTTGGAACTATCTGCTCATCCTGACTTGGAAGCAAGTTTATTTATTCAACATAAAAGGAAGTATTTGAACTCACGGAGTGTGATCCTCTGCAACTTTCAAAAGCAGCACAACTGGACAGACAACTTTAAGGACAATGAGACATATTTCTCTGTTCTGAATACCACCTTGCTAGTGAAGGGGACCAAAGTTTTGCCACCCTGAAGCTGCCTTTTGGGATATTGACTTTAAGCTGTTTATCAAGAAACAAAAGACTCAGGAAAAACCTTTGACCCTCTCCCCTTTTCTGCCTAAGAGATTCAAATAGAAAAACCTGCCTCACGGAGGCAGTCTTAGAATGTCCACCACAGCCCACTTTGAATTAAGTATGGAGATAGGAAGACGTCAGGCAACGGCCTGTTAGTTAGATAACCCCTGTGTCCCATGACTTCTGAATTGCCAGAGAATTTGCCTGCTATGTGTGTTCCACTCTTCTCCATCTACCAGCAAATGGCCCGTTCTCACTTCTGAAATCCCCCATTTTCTCTTGTGTCCAAAATGTCATATATCCCATAGTGCCTCCCTGTCTTTAGAATTTTCATGCTTATAAGAATTCCCCATGTGCATGTATTGCAAATTTGATTTTTCTCCTATTAATCTGTCTCTGTTAATTTGATTATTAGCCCAGCTAAAAGAAGTTACAAGGTGGGAGAAAAAGTATTTGGTTTTTTTTTTTAGCTTCCACATTATTTTAACTAAACAGTATTGAGTATATAGGAGATCAACGTTATAAAGGATATGTTTTAGTTAATATAGATAACGTAGTTCAATGATAAAAATGAGCCTTTTCCCCATTCAGTTATTTAGTTTCGAACCACTCTTTAATGGAACTAAACATGTGAACAATGTTTTTGTGAATATCACAATATTGCCAAGGTGAATAGAATAACTTTCCCCATCCCACTCTTATTACTTTGTCTAGGTTATATAGACCCAGCAGGCCTTTTTTAATGACAGATTTACACAAATACAAAAAAATTTAGGGCAAGAACAAAGTGGCGCTATAAGTTACTATAGGGCACAGCACAAGTTTATATATTTTTTCCTACCCCTCCTTGACATTTACGTGGGACCCTCCTAAAGGAGATGTCAGAGAAATTTTTGAATCTGCAGAAGAACTGAACAGAGAGAAGTCCAGCAAATGCTTTAGTGTGTGATGTGTGAGAATTAGAATCGAATGACAGGCAGGCCGAAAGGCTGTCTGCAAACTGAACCCCCAGCTGTTCCCAGACAGTGCAGAGGGCACAGCAAGTCCTTCCTGCCTCTCCCCTTGTTCATTTGTTGTATTGGAACGCCTTTCACAAATATACTCTTTTCAGGGCATAGTTCTACCATAGTTCCCAACTCGTCCCTTCTCTAAGAAGCTGAATGATTAACTTAAAGCCACTCCTGGCTTCTTCTTCTCTCCCAAGCATGTAATCATTGGTCACTTCCCTCTGGATTCTCCCCTAATATAACACTTACAGCCTTGCATTCAGCACTTAGAAGCTGCTCGTGGAGGGAAGACATGGCAAAGGGATTCCACTCCTGCTCTCTCCGAAGCCAGCGATGGGAACCAGCGTCCACTGCCCCAGGCAGTGTTTTGTGGATGCCCAATGCCTCCCGTGACCCCTAGGTTTTTTCTTTTTCTGTTCTTAGGCTTAACCTGTCATTTGTCTACCTTTATTTATGAAGCCTGGGTTTGACCTGTCTGTTTTGCCCTGGTCCCTAGACAGTGGAGCAATGAGAACATGTTGATGTAACTTTTACCCCCTGCTGTTGTTCCTGGAGCTGGAGCCAGTACGACCTGCTGTTGCTACAGGGTTTTTCTCTAGCTGGATGCTTTCTCGTCACGTGGTCCTGTCCACAATGGGCAGCTCCTAGGAAAGACAAAACCATGTCTCGTGAGACTGTTTCTGGAAGTTGAATGGGTTGGCTGGTTGGAGTGAACAACCTTGCATTGAAATCATGTAAGTGGCTTCCCAGAGGCTCCACAGTATTTTTCCTTCTCAGAGATATCACAGTTGCCTCTCACTCTCTCTCTCTGAACTCCATGCTAATGTTACATATATTTAACTCTGCTGTGCTGCTGCTCTCTTCTTTTCTGGGTGGGAGATGCTGCAGTGAAAGTACTTGTTAATTTACCTATAGGTCATCGGCCAAGGTTTACCTCTGCTGCCACCACATGTTGCTTGTACAGTCATTCGCCAAATATGGGATTTTACTGAACTTCTTCACACAGGGCTTATTTGCATCAAAGACCCAGGGAGAGGCAAGAGATTGATTTCAGGACCCCCAGTTTGAAGAAGGCAAGTGACAGAGGATGCACACGTGAAATTGATTTTGGAGAGGATGGAGATGGAAGTTAATCATTGATCAGTATGACAGATATTCCTTGGGTTCCTACTATGAGCAATGCACAGGGTATATAAACAAAGAAGAAAACTGGAGAGTGGTTAAACTAGAACAGCAGGACATTTACTAACAGCTCCAAGTCATGGAGACCTAATACAAAAATTATCTGGAAATAGAAATTTTATATACTCTTCCCTTTTCTTTCTTTCTTCTTTTTTAATGTTTTAAAATAGTATTCTGTCATCAGAAGCATCAGTGGAGCCTGATAGAGGCATCCTAGGAGAAAAGTCAGTGCTGTCCAGGTAAAAGACTTCAGAGGGGAAAGAAAGGGAAAGTGTGACCTCTTCCCTTTGTGCCCTCTGGCTACCGGGTCCTGTTTGTTGTTGTTGTTGTTGTTGTTGTTTTTTAAAGGGTCAAGCAACTGCATAAAGAAAAGTCAACAGGAGTGGAATTCCAAGACCTCACTTTTGAGTTCAAGTACTATAAAACTGACCAGAGTGGATACTCTGATATTCTGTGTTAACTGAATTCTACTAAAATTTGTATTATTATAGAAAAGTACTAACTTAAGTAGAGGAACTAGAACAATTCAATTAATGCTAAGATAGAATGAAGAATGAGCAAGCTGCCTAAGATTTGAAAGTGTTATTTGTAAACTTGTTTACAAACAAATTAGTGTAGAAATCAGAACTAAACTAAAAATGAGCTCAGATCTCCTGGCCCATGGGAGGTTTAGAATTCTAGATATATTCTTGGTAATCTTGAAAAGAAATTACATGTGAATGGGGCCAGATTTTCAAATTTTTGATCAAAAGATTTATGGTTTACTGAAAAGGACTTGCTTCTCTCTAGTGTTTCCAGCTAAATGCTTTCTTTCTTTAATTTTTTTTAAAGTACCACATACAGCTTCAAGGAAGTATTATTTTAAGCCTCCAGTTTATGCCAATTAACAGATTTTCTGAGAAGCTATAAACTAGATATTTAAAAGAGCTTAATTCACCACATTTTAAAGGATACTTAAAGTTAACATGATAGTTTGCAAAAGATAAATTCCTAGTTCTGTCCTCTTTGTTTTATTTTGCCTTGTGGAGTGTCTTCAATTATTTCAAGAAAGTGTAGAGTTCAATCTCAAAGTGAAAACAATTTAAATTCATTTTAAAATAATTTAAATAAACACTATTAGACAACATGTAACACTTGGAAGAAGAGCTGAGGGGCTAGTGAACTCTAACAATAAACACTAAGGGTTCACAATGACAGAACATTAAGCAATGGTTTTCTGGTGACTGTTATGCCTCCCCTCCCCCACTCGACCTGTGGCTGATCAGTGGAAAAGTTCCTGCCTTACACTTCAACAACACCATTCTTACTCTGTGTACAAGGTCTTTGTTCATAGTAAAGTGTCACAAAAATACAGAACAATTAATCTGGTAAAATAACTCTGACACTCCAACATGCTTAGAATACAGAAGTTTAAGGAAAATGAAAAGAAGTTGCTACGGACTGAATGTGTCTCCCCCTCCCCCGACAACTTCAGCTTTCTCTCCCAAATTTATATGTAGAAGTCCAGATTCCCAATGTGATGGTATTTGGAAGAGGGGCTTTTGGAAGGAAATTGGGTTAAATTAGGTCCTGAGGGTGGGGCTGGGGCTCTCAATGATGGGATTAATGCTTTTATAAAAGGAAAGACACCAGATATCTCTCTTTCCCTCCCTGCATGCAGGCTAGCAGCAAAGAAAGGTCTCGTGAGGACCTAACGAGAAGAGGGCCAACTGCAAATCAAGAAGAGAACCCTCATCAGGAACCCAGTCAGCTGGAACCATGATCCTGGACTTCACAGCCTCCAGAATTGTGAGAAAAAAGTGTCTATTGTTTAAGCCGCTCTGTCTGGTCTATGGCATTTTGTTATAGCAGCCAGAGCTGACTGAGAAAGAAGCCTTCACAAACCAGCTGGTTTAACTGACCTGGCTTGGAAATGGTAGAGAGCAAATGATAATCTTTATATGTAATAAGAAGATCCTATTTTTTTTGTTTTTGTTTTTTAATTTTTAAAACCAATTTTATTTATACTTTTAGAGAGAGGGGAAGGGAGGGAGAGAGGGAGAGACACATCAATCAGTTGCTTCTCACATGCCCCCAACCGGGGACCTGGCCCACAACCCATGAATGTGCCCTGAGCAGGAATTGAGCCCATGACCTTTCAGTTCACAGGGCCAGTGCTCAATCTACTGAGCCACACCAGCCAGGGATGGATCCTATTTGTTAATGTCATTACTTGCCCAGACCGAAATAGATCTCTATTATGACTGTCAAATCTTTATTGAGCACCTACTTATTCTGGGCAAAGATCAAATTTAAACTGTATGACAGCTCTCAATTTTCAGTGTCAAAAGTCTCTAGGAAGAAAATCCTAGCTTGGAATTTTACACATGGGAGATCAGCAGGCTTTCACCAGCTGTAAATTCCTAGACTGCTGTGTTGGATCCTCTGGGGTTATTTCTTTTGTTTATTATTTGGAAAATAAAGATGAACTCTGGGTACTCCAAGTGCTAACTCTTTTGTTAAATTAAGAGTACAACATAAACAGCTACTAAATTAGCATCTGCTAAAGTCTCAAAGGCGGGTACCGGTAAAGGTGCTACCCACAAACGTGGTGCTCTTTCAAGGGATTGAGAGAAAAGCATTTCATCGACCCATGCATGGGAGATTTGGTGTGGCAAGGGTTATTCAGGTGGAAGGCTGCCCCTGTGTCCCATCTCTGTCCATCCCATAATAGAAAAAGTCTAACTGTGTTTTCAGTAAGGCCAAAATGAAGACCAGTATCCAGAGTTTCTGTGTGGTATTAAATCCTAGTCCTAGTTCAACTGACATGCCTCTATGGTCAAGCACCTCCCCTTGTGCCATTTTGACTTTTACTGCGCATAGGACTCCTCCTGCTCCCCACAACAATCTGGCACTGGAGGAGGGGAGGTAGGGGCATTAATCTTTGATCCTCTGGAACTTGTGAAGCTGTAGCTCCCTTATGAAGCAAACAGGCTTATGCTCCTTGGTTGATCATGCTCAAGAATGTCCAATTCCCTTTGCTTTCTTCCTTATTAATAATTAGCTAAGTATCTATGGTAACAAAGGTATTTGATACAGAAATTCAGAGGAGGAAATACTCAAGTTAATTTACAAAAAAAAACCCAAAAAAACAGGAGGAGCCATCATAACAACTCAGGTGAGAGCTTGATCCAAAGTAGTAGTGGTGATAAGAGTGTTAATAATGTAAATGGAGCCACTTCAAAATGGAGTCAGAGCTGCCATCTCAGACAAAGTGCCTTGTACATCTCACTTTTTAATTCTTTGGAATGTTAAAACTGGGAAAAATAATCTTTAGATTGGGCCCAAAGCAGTATTGTTTGCAAAGCTATTAGGAAAACAGACATTATGACTATCTACTGAAAATTAAAGGCATTCTTTAGAATTAGCATCTTTATGTTAACTTATCTGCACCTACAAGAATTCCCTCCTTAGTTTAACAGCAATAGAAATTCCTTCTATTCATGTAATTGCCTTCACCTCCTAATCAGACACTACTTGGGTCTCTACATTAATCAGTGCTTCCAAAATTACTATTAAAGAAAACCCTCAAACTATTGTTTTTTTCTCACTTTGGTTTTTTATTTTTAGGTTACCAAGAACAAAGAAGGAGAGACATTAAGAAATGAGAGAGATACTCAGAGAACCACCTATTGTAGCAACTGACTGGATGCTAAGGAATGATCCTAGAGGAATCCGAAAAGATTGAGATTTTGAACCTAAGAGACAGAAATGTATGTATTAACAGGGTATGAAAATCAGAGGAAAGATCCGTTGGTAGACTGGGGGGTGATGTGGAATTGGATAGTTCTGACTTTTTTATCTGTTGAATTTAAGGTGACGGTTGTCTTTACAGTGTGACAAAAGGCAGGCATTGGTGATGCCTGCCTTCCTTGCTGTGGTGTTCCTTGGTTCACTGTGGGCTTTTTACACTTGGGCTGAACAGATCCAGATGTGAAATTAACCTTGACTTAGTAACTGAACTTTAGCAGCTGGTTAGCTACAAAAAGGAAAAAAAAAAAGAGAGGTTTTAAAATAAAGGGGGTCCCCACCAAAATTTTTAAGCGATATTTTGTGAAAGGGTGGCAATTTCTACTTAGAGAACAGACCTGTCCCATAGTCAATCCTCCACCCATTCCTTAGGTGAAGAGCTAGGAGAGACAGGAGTCACTAGAAAATCCCCAAATGGAGAAGCCAATTATCAGGAAGTGGTTCCCAGCAACCACTTAGGGAGCAGCTGAGTTTTGAGGCAGAAGGTGCTTTATCAGATAATAAGCACCTTCCTTGAAAGATATGTATGTTTGCATATCCAAATTGCTACCATCAACATAAGTATTTCAATGAGGCTTTGTTTTGAAATTATATAGATTTGCATTAAAGAAAATGAAAAAAAAAATCTGAACTTTAAAAACTAGAAACCAACAACCTAAGACATTACTTCTATTTTGACTATATTAACAGAATGCATGTTTCTTTTTAAAAAATATTTGAAAAGCATCCCAAACATAGAGAATGTTAGAGAGGATAAACTATCATCTATATTACCTGGAAGCAACAAATGCCATATTTCCTTCACTTTTTAAAAGGAAATTAAACGTTAAAGATGTATTTGAAAGACAGCAAGGGAGAAAGAGGTAGTAACATATAAGAGAGCCCCAGTATGGGTAGCAGCTGACTTCTCAACAGAAACACTACAAGCCAGAAGGGGATGGCAAGAAATACTCTAAGCACTGAAAAGCAAAAGCCTGCAACAAAGACTGCTCTGCCCATCAAGACCCTCAATTAAAATGGAAGGTGAAATAAGGTTTCCCAGACAAAAGAAGGCTAAAAGAACACACCTCCACCAAACCAGCATTGCAAGATATGCTAAAGTGATTGCTTTAAGAGGATGAAGAAAGAGAGTCTATGAATACCCAGTTCTTTTCACAATCACCAGTACTTGATCTTACCAATATTTTTAATACTTATTAATCTGATTGTGACAATGATATGTTATTTTAAGTGTTGCTTTATTATTTGTTGAAACTAAACCTGTTTTTGTATATTCCTTTCCTATTTCTATTATTTTTAAAAAGCTCTAAATGACTTTTTGGTATTCTTTATCCATTTTTTGATTAAATGTTTGTAGAATTTTTTTCCCTAAAAAAGAAAATTAACCCTTTTTTTAGATGTGTTGCAAATACTTTCCTATTCTATTACTTGTCCTTTAACTTTTTTAATATGTATATTACTGTATTGTCTTAAATGTTTAAGATAGTTATATTGTCAATATTTTACTTTATAACTTCTGTGTTTGAATATTTTACTTCAGGGTAAGAAAAATATTATTTTGTATTTTCTCCTAAAACTCCTTAGATTTTACATATTGATTTTTAACTCACCTGGTTATTTTTTGTATAATGTGTGAAATAAGGCTCTATATTTGTTTTATTTCAAGTAATAGTGGTCCATGCACCTTATTTGTTGAATAAGCCTCATTTTCCCCATTGATTTGAAGTATCAATTTAATCATATATTCCATTGTTAGGCAGATATATATGTTTGTTTCTAGAATGCTCATTTTATTTTATTTTTTATTTATACTTTTATTTTTTAATTTATAAATCATGTTTATTCTATTACAGTTGTCTCAATTTTTACCCCTTTACCCCCCTCCACCCATCCCACCCCCACCCCCTGCTCCCACAGTCAATTCCCACTCTGTTGTCCATGTCCATGGGTCAGAATGCTCATTTATTTCATCGATCTACTTGATTATTTCTGTGCTGCTGTCATGTTGTTTTAATTGCTGAGACTTTATAATTGATTTAAATTTTTTAATACTTTATAATGGATTTTGACATTTAAAAAATAAATACATAAAATCAATCTGCATTTTTAAAAAAAAGAAGAAAGGAGGAACTCCTACCTTTTGTGACAACATGGATGAAACTGGAGAATATTATGCTAAGTGAAATAAGCCAGTCGGTGAAAGACAAATACCATATGATCTCACCTACAAATGGAATCTATTCAACAAAATAAACTAATGAACAAAATAAACTGCAGGCATGGAAACACGGAGCAGACGGAGAGTGACCAGAGGGGATGGGGAAGGAGGACAAGGTGGAAAGAAGGAGAAGGGACTAAACAAGGAACATGTATGAATGACCCGTGGACATGGACAACAGAGTGGGAATTGACTATGGGAGAGGGGGGCAGGGTGGAATGGGTGGAGGAGGGCAAAGGGGGAAACACTGAGACAATTGTAATAGAACAAACATGACTTAAAAATAAAAAAAATTTAAAAAACATGTATTTGATGACATTGGTGTTTTCCCTCTGCATGTTTACTACATACATATGTCCCAATATGTGTCATGTAATATTATTCTGTATGCTTGTAGTTGCACATAAATGACATCACATTGTATTTACCATTCTCTATCTTATTTTTACATATCATAATGTGTTTATCCATTCTGCCACTGAAGTACATTTAAGCTTCTTTCTGTTTTTCCCTGGAATGAACATCCTCATGAGATAACTGGCAATTAGGCAGACATGAACAGAGTAGGAACAATAAGCCAGGTACAGAAGTTCACCGGGGTGCCTAGCAATGGACAATTATAAAGTGGAACCTCATCACCAGTGTGACCTTTCCTCTAACACATTGCTGGGTCATGTGCTTTAGACACCTTGACCTTTCCTATCACTGGTCATACAGTTTGGATCCTCCCCTGAACTGTCCTTTCCTGTCATGTCATTCGTCATGTAGTAGCACCCCTTAGAGAAGGAACAAGGGGGCCAGAGAATAGCCTCATATGACTCTCATGCACAACCACCCCCTTAAGTATTAAGCTCTAGAGATAACATCTAGGCCTCAGTTGTGTTTTGGCTCCAAGCCCAGAAAAGAAGCAAAGCCAGGTAGGTGATGCCATGGCTGACATCAGGACCAGCTGTGATGATTAATGACCCACTGCCTTGGCACTAACCAATCAGTAGAGACCACGACCCTGAGGGAACACATCTGGAAAGCTGATAAATATTCTATTGAGATCCTCTCCTGATACCTCCTGACAAAAACCCTCAAGACTAAGGACCCAGCACACTCTCTCTCTGCAGCAAACTGTGTCTTTCCTTCCCCTTTTTTTGCCTCAAGGCGTGTGTCTTTGCTTTCTCTCTCCTAAGCTTCAAGGGCCCTTCTTTTACCTCTGTAACTTGTCTCCTGAGCCCGCATAGCCCAGCTGGATCATTCTTCCATGGGTCACTTCTACCTCTGTGACTTTCTAAATAAACTTTTGCTTGTATTTGAGTCTTGGCTCTGAATTCTGTCTCAGCCAAAACTGAAGGGCCAAGGTCTAACATCTGGTGCCATTTGCCGTTAACATTTGTATATGTTCTGTATGTGGGTGCTTTTCTAGAGGACATTAGTAGATGCGGAATTGCTGGATTTCAGGAAATGTACATATTTACCTTAACTAGAGATAGCAAACTTATTCCCCAAAATGATTGCTCAAAGTAATCACCTCCTGACCCTGTGTAAGAGCTCCTGACTGCCCACACTTGTTAAACATTTATTTTTTGAAAGATTTTACTTATTTATTTTTAGAGAGAGGAGAAGGGAGGGAGAAAGAGAGAGAGAAGAACATCAATGTGTGAAAGAAACATCAATTGGCTGCCTCTCAGGGACCTGGCCTGCAACCCAGGCATGTGCCCAGACTGGGAATAGAACCAGTGACCTTTCAGTTTGTGGGACGATATTCAACCCACTGAGCCGCATCATTCAGGGCTAAACATTTAAGTTTTTGTCCATGTAATGGGTGTTTTAATTTTCATTCCCTGATAAATAATGTAGTTTCTTTCAAAATACCAAAGCTTGCCTGGCTCAAGTTTGCCTTTCATCAACTAAGACAGAGTTTTTCAGAAGGGCAATGGAAGAGTCAGGCAGAGAAAATTAAGCTAGGACTAAGAGCTCCTGCCAAGATAGGTCAATTTGAGATGAAGATAAAGCATACCTGAAGTTAAAGTCAATGGGAAAGAATGAATTATCATAAAAAATTGATTAAGAACAACTTTATAGGTATGTGGTGGAGCTCTTTGTCGAGTACCTTTCAGATCTTATCATATTAATACATATGAAACCAATAAGGAACTGCACGGAATTACCAGTAAAACTGTAATCAGAGGTAGGGCCTGGATACAAACTGGACCTGTCTCTAGAGTTTTGTGATGGCAAATAGATGATGGTAACTTGGGGACATTTGTAGTAGGTCCTTTAGCATTTACCTGGGAAAAGAGAACATGTATTTAAGAGAAGATGAACATGTTAACACTTGTAGTTCATTTTATCAGCTCCCCAAACAGAAGATTGGCTTCTGTGTGTGAGCCAGGGGGAGGGAGATGGCGGTGGGGTGGGTAGGGAGGTGTTTGGACTCAGATAAAACCAGTGCTTGCATTTACTGCTTATGAGACTCTTGAGTCTGTTTCTTCACTGTTAAATAAGGATACTGATATCTTCTTCACAGAGTTGTTACAAGATTGAAAGTAACAACTATTCCTAGTATAATGTCTGGTATGTTTAGTATTTAGCAAATTTATAATTGCAATATAATAATTGAGCAGCTACTATATTCCAGGCATGGCAGCAAGTCCTGGGCACACAGCAGTGAACAATGAGACCAAGTCCCGCTGTCAAGAAGCTCACATGCTAGAAGGAAGTAACAAACAATAAACAAATAATCCATTATAAGGCATGTCAGATGATAAATGCAATTGAGAACAGGCAGAGTAAAGACGGTAAAATGTGCAGGGGCCACCAAGAGTCAATGCTGCTGCGCCCACTCATTTCCAGGTGACCCCGGGGATCAGCTTCTGAGTGACTGGAGTTCTAACTTTCTTAAGCTGTGAAAATGGGAAAAATGATAATAGAATGGTGCATGGTTTTACTTATTTGTGTGCTAAAATGAAAGTTTAAACAGTCTTTCTAAACTTCAATTTGTTTAGAATTCAAAGCTGAGAAAAAGGAAAGATTGCTGGGAGGCTTGCCGATTTAACATTGACAATAGTTGAAAGTTGTCCAAAATTACAGAGTTTACTGAAGTGAAAAAGGACCTTATTGGAAAAATATATCTGTATATATGTAAACAAAAAATATGTATAATAGAAAAAGCAATGAGCAGAGATTCTCAGGAGGCCTGGAAGGTAGTTTAGGCTCCATGCTTCTCTGTTTTCTTGTCCATCAAATTCTGCTAAGAGACCATGAGTTCTAGTTTTTGTCTCCCCAGACACTGCCTCTCCCACTTTTGTTTTTGAGAACTGAAACAATGACTATTGCATACATTTCTGTTCCGATTCGTTTCTTTAAAAAAATGACGTTGGACTGTAACAATTTCCTATTTAGAAATAGAAGTCTCCTTTGCAGTAAAAGTGTAGTTCCTGCTCAGTGTCTCTCTGCTTCTAGGACAGGGAAAGAGAGAATCTTGACAACCCAAGGGCTCCCAGGACATTGAAAAACACCTTGATTCACTTCTTTCCTGTCATTTTTTTTCATGCCTCACTTCTGACAATGTTTTGAAAGCACATTGGTCACCATTCTGGTAAATATGTTAAAATGATCAATAACATGATATTATTGGAAAATCACCAAGTCATTTCAAAGGTAAATGGAATGTTAAAGTTGTGTGCCAAGATTTTTACTCAAGCTTACCTTTTTTTTATCCTGTTTGAACCTCTTGATTCAAATAATCTGTTATTGTTATAAAAACAAAGTAGCTTTTTTTCAAAGACTTCATGTTCATTTCAACTTGTCAAGAGGGGAGGGATGGGCCTTAGAAAACAATCATTTTTTTTAAAACAGTATTTCTTTAAAAACTGTTTACTATAGTAGTTTTCCGATGTCATCTTTCATTTTACATTAAATAAAAAAACTTTTTGCTTTGTTCTAAATTTTTTACTAGATGGCCTCAGTTTTTGTTTTTAATATCCTTGCAAGCACAG